CCCCCTCCCCCAGCCGGCTGCCGCTCGCTCCCCTTCGCCGCCGGAAGCCAGCCCCGCCCCCCTCAACTTCATCCCGGCCCTCCGCTAGCCCCCTCCAGTCCGCACAGCCAATGGCGAGCCAGGGAGCCAACAGAGCGACTCACCAAGCAGCCAACTGGGGAGGCCCACTGGGAGGTCAGCCGCCCAGGATAGGCCAGCTACCCGCGGCCCCGGCCCCGGCGCGGCTCCCCTTTGTTAGAGCTGCCCCTTTCTCTCCTGGCCCCCACCTCAAAGCCGGGAGCCCAGCATCCCGCAGCTGGGCCAGATGCTGCCGCGCCCCTTCTCCGGCTCCCCCGCCCATGCTCTGCCTGGGTACTAGGAGTGACCCCTATCCAGGCGATGCCTCCCCGGGTGCCTCAGACTTCCACAGCAATAGCCATCCCGAGACGCCCGACAGTAAAAAGATGCTCCCCAGGCCTCTCTGCCTCGCCCTTCTCTCAGACTAATCAGTTGCACTCCCTTATAATAGTGCATAGATTTAGGCATATTACATCAGCTGCACACATCAATCCACCGTGTCTAAAACACCTGCTTTTCGTGACGCAGAAATTGGGGTGGGGGGCATATTGGGAAGGTATTTATCTGGTAGTTGGTGGGCTGGGAGAAGGAATACATCAAATCATCTGCAACAAGCAAACAGCAAACACAGCTGGCTCCAACCCAACTCAGATACAAGACATCTACATCCAATTAAACCCAACCTAGCCATTTCCTTGGCAGGTTTCAGTACAATTAGGAAACAAACATCTAAGTCTTGTTCAAGCCATATACCTAATAACAGAAAAAACTCTCAGCAACCACCAGACTGCCACGTAACTGGCAGGCTGCATCAACACTACAATCCCTAATGCCAACGTTAGGGGCATAACATTGCAGAAATGGAATATGCCAGATTGTAGAATATTTTCTTAGGTATAGTGGTGAAGTAGTATAAGGAATTCATTTAAGAAAAACAAAGTGGGGATGGGGAAGGCAAGTTATTACCTAAATTATAATTTTTGTCCACAGAGTTCTTGCAACTAATGTTAAGTGTCCATATCACACTTTACAAGCCCACTTGGTTCCCAAGTTTTACTACAATTTTTTAAGACAATAACAAAACACTTTATTTTTTTTTTATTGAGTTATAGTCGGTTAACAATGTTGTGTCAAAACACTTCAAATTTAAGTAGACTTCCTTATGTGGAAGATGGAAAAGGAGCTGTGCCCATTTTAAAGCCAGCTCTCTTTCCTAATTCAAATTAAAAGGCTTGGGCTTAAATAGATTTTATAGAGGAACTTCACTGGTGTCTCACAGACTAGCTCTTTTAGGTTCCAGATGAAAAGAACCAAATGCAAAAAATGTATTTCATTTTAAATTCTGCCCAGAAAAGTCTCCCAGATTAGCTAGTAGGTGAGTCCATCCCTTACCCATCTTCTCTTGACCTAAAACAAAAATCCTCAAAAGCACAAAAGCAGTTACAATTCTCCACATCATTTAATAATTCTCTGGCATTTTCCATATTAAAAGAACTAAACAATACTTTGAAAAATACTGTTTAAAATAGTTGACCTAAGAGCTACTCTTGATGTCACAGAAACATCTGTGTCAATACTTTCCTTCAAACTCTAGTTTTCTTGAAAAAAGCATTTTTTTCTCTTTAAGGATTAAATAGAAACTAAAATTTAAACCCTTTCAAGATCATTCATGAGCCAATTAATTTGCCAGGCCGTCAAAAACTGACAAACACAGTCTCACTACTATTATCACAAATGTTCTTGACAAATGGATAATTCTGGTAAAACTTGTACAGAACAAGTTTCACATTGTATCATCTATTTTTAAAGCACATATGAATATTATATATGTCTGTAGGTCCAAGAAACTATCTGGAAGTATATAAACCAATCTGTCAATGTAGTGACCACTGAGAGGAGGAAAAGAGTATGGTTGGGAGGAATAAAGGGAGAATTTTTTTATATGTGTTTTACTTAATCTTTCAAAAGTAAAAAATATGGATGAGGTTTATAATTTTAATGATTAGCTGAGTAGTAGAATTACAGATTATTATTTTTGTAGTTTATAAACTATGGTGAACATGTCTTACATTCATAATCAGCAAAAAACATTAAAACAAAAACCAAACACATCATCTCTTAGAAACAGAAGGAAAAGATCAATGGGTTTGTTTGAAAATGAGATTAGGTAACATCCATCTAGCCTAATCACTGCACTTCAATATTTCTTGAGTACTCTATTTTGCAAAATTCCCAAATGACATTTATAATAAGCAAAAAAAAAAAAAAAAAAAAAAGGGTGGGGGACTTTGACAATTTACTCCAACCAGAATAAATAGTTTTCAGCAGAACTAAATACCAAAAATAAAACAATAACAATGATCTATCCTGAACAGAAAATAAACACTATTAAAAAGGCACTTTCCCCCATAAAGACCTATGTGACATTTTACAGAATTCAAACACCCAAGAGACAGAACATAGACTTTGATAAGAAACTTTATTCATTAGACTTAAAGAGAACAATAGGTCTAAAAAAAGCAAGTGTAAAGTTCAGAAGGGGAAAAAAAGGCAATACCTTGACTAATTTCAATATAGCAAGGTATTCCTTTAACTTTTTTTTTTTTAACCGGCTGCACTTTCTCTTTCAGACACTAGAGGGAAGTGTAAAATCCATTCACTGGATCTCTGGGAGTTCAATCTGTTCACTCACAGCACCACATATTCATTGCATTCCTACATATCAGGAACTCTATTAGACCTCAGAGACAAAAAGATAAATAAGCTACAGTCTCTGTCTTTAAGGTGCTTAGTCTAGGGAAGGGAGACACACCAGTTTAAAAAAAAAAAAAAGGCAAACTACAACAAAGAATGCAGATGAAAACCAAACCCCAATTTTTGCAAGATTGAGTTTGGGGCAGGACAGTTTGGCAGAAGGAGTAAAAACTTTGTCCATATAATAATTCACACTAGACAAACCAACTTATCCAAACTGGCTTATTCTCCTATTAACAATCTTGCCACCTTAATCTAAACGGAAATAACCTACACCTAGAAGGTATCTTTAAACTGTTGTCTACAGAAAGTAGAGGAATGAGGCATCAACACATGTGGAAGATTTGCTAAAATATCTAGTTGGCTAGGTTTCAAAATCAATTGTACACAGTTTTAAAAAGCACGAAGGTTAACAGATACAACTGGAGTTAAGACTGCTTACACAATAATAAAACTTCTCATTTGAAATTAGGATAAATTACACTACACTCCCCGAAAAGGGTGTGTCAAGGATAAATGAATGGGGCAGAGGGTACAGCGTAAATGGTAGAGGGCATGCAAGCTTAGCATGCACAAGGTCTTGGGTTTAATCTCCAGTACCTTCTTTTAAAAAAAAAAAAACTAATAATAAATAAGTAGACCTAATGCCCTCCCCACCCAAAAACAAAAGAAAACAAAACAAAACATAAATGAATAAGTAGAAGTTTCCTAAATGTGCTCTGTCTTATACAAATTAAATCTCCCAAATTAGGAAATACAGTACTCTGACAATTAGCTTCCTCTGATGCCTTTGAAAAGCCTCTGTAAAGAGACATCTTGGTTGGCAAATCATTTCCACATCTAAATAATTCAAGCCTACGTAGGAAGGACTAAGACTTTAACTGATAAAGCAGAATTAGAGCTCAAAGTCACCAAAAGGGCAATGGAAACATTTGTGTGGTGTATCTTTCCCTAATCCTCAAAATGACTGTTGCATCTTTTGCTATAGTTTGGGATGTCTGGATTGTGTGTTTTGGGGGTGGAGAGTTGGAGAGAAGGGACAAGTTGTTAATTTCTCATACTGATGGAGTAGCACATGGTAGAAAAAATAAAAGCCAACATCCTGAAAAAGTTTCACACACATACACAAAATGAGACAGCAAACTTGTGAATCAAGCATGATTTGGCATCTTTAAATGCAGAACCAATTCTTTTCTAGTGCCAAAGCCAATGGCTTCTCCTGTAGATAAAATGGCACGGTTCCTGAAAAAGCCCTGGACGCTGTTTCCCCACAATCCTATAATCTGTCAGAAGACAGAAAACAAAAAGAAGGCTTTGCCAGCCAGAAAAAGCAAATTATAACCAACACAGAGCCAACATTTTACTTCAGACAGAAGGAGCTTTTTCTATGCATCTTTGGAAGGAGAGAGACAAAAGAAGCTTACCACTGCTCAAATAACCAAGGCAAACATTTTAACCAAATACCATCTTGGATAAGTATTGGATGCAATAGCCTGCTTCCTCACTTTGTATACACAGCCTTTAAGAATACTTGCAACATTTATGATAAAGAATTGGCCACAAAAGACAAAGGACTTTTACAAGTCAATAAGAGAAAGAAACAACTGAAAGGGAAATTTTCAAAGGACAGGAACTAGTAGCCACCGAAGAAATACGTAAGATCAAATATTACAATATATTCCATATTATTAGGAAGTGGTGAAAAGTGGCTTCTCCATATGGTCCCAAAGGTATTTTGACTTGATGGTACTGCCAACTGCAAGCTTCCAGAGAAAACTTGGCTACTCAGAATGAAAAGGGAAAAAAAAAAAGATAAGAGTACCTAAAAATCATCAGTTGTACACT